GTGTGTATTAACACAAACACACACACACACACACACAATAATGTTAAATTTTTAAGTTTTCTTAATTTTCTTTTCAAGATATGTGTAGTAACAGACACACAAAATATGTTAAATTTTCAAGTTTTTAAATTTTCTTGCCAAGATGTATGTATTAACACACACATAAAAAAATGTTAAATGTTTGAGTTTTTTTAATTTTCTTCGCAAGAGTTGGGTATTAACACTCACACACAAGAAAATGAGTTTTTTCTAATTTTCTTGTCAAGATATGTGTATTAACACACACACACAGAAGAAAATGTTAAATTTTTGAGTTTTTTTAAAAATTTTCTTCTCAAGATATGTGTATTAACACACACACAAGAAAATGTTAAATTTTTGAGTTTTTTTAAAATTTTTGTCAAAATATGTGTACTAACACACACACAAAAAATGTTTAGTTTTCGTTTTTTTTATTTGTTTGCCAATATGTGTGTATTAACACACATAGCAAATTTTAAATTTTTGTAATTTTTAATTTTCTTTCCAAAATTTGAGTATTAACACACACACAAGAAAATGTTAACATTTTGAGTTTTTTTTAAATTTTTCTGGTCAAGATGTGTGTATTAATACACATAAGAAAATGTTAAATTTTTGAGTTTCTTTCTGTGAATTTTTCTTCTTAAGTTTGCAGGACTAATTTTTTATTTTCTTGTCAAGATATGTCTATTAACACACACATAAGTAAATTATAAATTTATGAATTTTCAAATTTTCATGTCAAGATATTTGTATTAACAAACACCAAAAATGTTTAATTTTTGAGTTTTTTTGAAATATTTATTCCAAAGATGTGTGTATTAACACATACAAGAAAATATTAAATTTTTGAGTTTTTATAATTTTCTTGTCAAGATATGTATACTAACACACACACACACAAAATGTTAAACTTTCAAGTTTTTTAATTTTTTTGCCAAATATGTGTATTAACACACACAAGAAAATGTTAAATTTTTGAGTTTTTTAATTTCTTACCAAGATGTGTGTATTAACACACACACACAAAATAATGTTAAAATATTGAATTTTCTTAATTTGTTTCTCAAGATATGTGTACACGCACACAAAATATGTTAAATTTTTGTTTTTAAATTTTTTTGCCAAAATGTATGTATTAACACACACAAGAAAATATTAAATTTTTGAGGTTTTTTAATTTTCTTGCCAAGATTGTGTATTAACACACACACACACAAAAAATTGAGTTTTTTCTAATTTTCTTGTCAAGATATGTGTATCAACACACACACACACAAGAAAATGATAAAGTTTTGAGTTTTTTTAAATTTTCTTCTCAAGATATGTGTACTAACACACACACCCAAGAAAATGTTAATTTTTTTAGTTTTTTTGAATTTTTTTGTCAAGATATGTGTACTAACACACACACACACAAGAAAATGTTAAATTTCAAAATTTTTAATTTTCTTGCCGAAATATGATTATTAATACACACACAAGAAAATGTTAACTTTTTGAGCTTTTTCAATTTTTCTTGTCAAGATGTGTGTATTAACACACACACAAAAAAATGTTAAAATTTTTAGTTTCTTTTGGGGAATTTTTCCTTTTTAAGTTTGCAGTACTAATTTTTTATTTTCTTGTGAATATGTGTCTATTAACACACATATATGTAAATGATAAATTTCTGAATTTTTCAATTTTCATGTCAAGATATGTGTATTAACACACACAAAAAATGTTTAATTTGCGAGTTTTTTAAAATATTTATTTCCAAGATGTGTGTATTAACACACACAAGAAAATATTAAATTTTTTGAGTTTTCATAATTTTGTTGTCAAGATATGTGTACTAACACAAACACACATACAAAAAATGTTAAACTTTCTAGTTTTTATAATTTGCTTGCCAAGATATGTGTATTATTAACACACACACAAGAAAATGTTAAATTTTTTAGTTTTTTAATTTTCTTACCAAGATGTGTGTATTAACACACACACACAAAATAATGTTAAATTTTTGAGTTTTCTTAATTTTCTTTTCAAGATATGTTTACTAACACACACACAAAATTTGTTAAATTTTTGAGTTTTTTAATCTCTTTATCCAATAATATATAAAATATTTGTTAAATTTTCGAGTCATATAATTTATAATAAATATTTATTATAAAATTTGTGAAATCATATTATATAAAATATTCCAGTAGCTCTCTATTAATCTCTTTATCCAATATTGAGGAATTGGTTTGATGAAAAATATAAATTTATTATGGTTGTTCTGCGCGCATGTGTTCATTATAAAATTTGAGCCACACATGTGTTTATTATAAAATTTCTTTCTTACAATTTTTAAATGACTTTGTAAAACAAATTTTGAAAGTGCTGTGGAAAAGCAAAACTGTAGAGATTTATTTTTTTTACTCTTACTTCTTATTCGTAATTTTTTTTTATTTTTTTTTATCTGGTTACATTGCATTTTATTTTTTATCTCAAATTTTTGATCTACTATAAGATTGTATATAAGTGTGATATAAACTTTTAATTTATTTATAAAAAAAAAAGATAAGAGATAAAATGAAATGATAATGTAAGCTATGCAAATTTAAGAAAACAATAATATAAAAATATTAAAAATTATGTACAATTAATTATATATCATATTCCCAATGCTACTAATATATAGCATATATACTATCTTATTCGATAATCTATTATTATTTTTTATTTAAAAATATAAAATATATATTGGTTGTAAAATTATTGTAATCTTATTTTATGCAATCTATTATGAATATATGTAAAAACATATTAAAATCATAGTAATTATTATTTTTTGTTTATTTAAATTTATTATTTTTAATGTTATAATTTAGTGTATTATTTTATAATTTATTTAATTATAACTCAACTAATCAAAATATTTAGGAAATTTGTCATGTGACATTTTCATGTCAAAATTCTATGTCATCATTAAATTCCACTAACTTTTGCTAAAGTAATGATATTTCAATTTTTTTTCATTAAACATGCTTCTCAAATAATAATTAAGATTTCAACAACATCAAAACAAATAATTCGTTTTTCGATAAATAAGGGTTTTAGAGGAATTGATGAATATCAATGGTAACACTTGGACTAAAGCGAAAGCTATCTTGAATCTATCTTCTAACTGTAAGATAAGTTTGAGTTACACAAACAATAATTTTTGACAAAAAGGGTTGGAGACTGCATTCGAACCCTACCAAATTGCTTCTTTTTCTTCCATATTTACACGGACCCTACCGTACGAATTAATATTATAAGACAGACTGTGAAAATAACTAACCAATTGTCCAATTGGGATGTGGTCCAAGCATCAACAACGGCACGCCCTATATTCTTGGGGGAGGGGGGGTTGAACTTTAGATTCATTTTATAATGTCATTATATATAAATATAATACTGAACCATCCATATTATAAATAAATAAAAACGGAATGTTTTAAGTGGACGTTTAGTCAGTATGCTGGTTGTGCTAAATTATAATAATTTGCACAAGCATACATTTTCCTCGATCCATATAGAGGCATCAAATCCCCATTTGCCTAGGAACCATTTTGGTTTGCTTGGTCCCAAAAACATAGGTTTCTAAATAGTAATGGATTCTTTAGATACGGAAGCAAGTGTCTATTTACAATAGCTTCGCTTAATTTAGTTGATATGTCCACATCATTCGCACACACCATGTGACATTAATAGATATGACCATCCAACAAATCCTATGAGTATTTACTAGGATTGAAATAAATTGAATAAACAACGTTTCGATATTTTTCTCAGCAGGCAATATGCATGATATCACATAAGAAGAATTTTGGGGTCACATATACCATGCATGTCAGCTTGTGAGATGTGCCATGCATGTTAGGTTAAAGTTGGATCATTTCAATCCTTTCCATATCCATAACGCATATGAGTGATGACAATATATTGCTCCTCTCAAAACGAACAAACCAACTAAATACTAGAATTTTATCGCACCATGTGTGAGGCTTTTAGGTGATGTAGCGTGACCTAACAATCAATTCATGTGGTTTACAAAGTCGCGTATGTGAGAGCATATAGAGTCATCATTAATTTGTGTGTTGGTAAAAACACTACTAATGATATCCGACATATATTCGTCATATTTTCAACGTCGAATTTGTGGATTCAGCTAAGTATAGACGTATAGTAGTAAATAATTAGCACAGTCAAATTAATTAGTACTAGCATTTTTTCGTGAAGATTCTTTGAGTATAGGAAAATGAAAAATGTGTGTACGTGTTAATAACACTAATAATATAGGTGTATGTTTCGACCAAAAAATAATAATATAGGTGTATGTATGTATCCAAATCCTAATCGGCTGGCCAATCCTAGTAGATGGTGACGTGGATCGCAGTAGGAGAAGAAGAAGAAGATGGTAGGACCCAGGAGAGATCGGACGGCTGAGATGAGATAAGATGAGAGGAAGGAGTTTCTTTGGGGCCAGAAATAACCCAAACAGGTAGGGTCCACAAAGATGACTAATCTCCACCGTCCAACTCAGAATAATATTCGTTTCTTTCTCCGGTCGACTCACACACATCTCTCACCTGACTTTTTTTGGGTGCTCTTCATCCTGTGGCGTCATCACTGACACGTGTCGTGATCTCCAAGAGGTTCATCTCACTTGGTGCGAGTATGGGTCCCACGTTGCCACACACTCTCTCTCACCTTCTGACGGGGGCTGCAGTTAGCCGCCGGTCCGTCTTCTCATTCAAATCAATCGCCGGTTACGCGGACGCCTGTCTTTCTCTAGACGACGTCGTTCGATCGAATAAAAATTAGTTTTTTTAAAAAAAAAAAGAAGGAAACGCGTGGGTCCCAATGGCAGTAGTAGAAGCGTTTCTCTTGCTTGTTAAGACAACACATTTTCCACTCTATTATTTTTATGTATATATTCTTCTTATTCTTCTATTTTCGACCTCTCACATTGTAACACTAACACTGTTTATTCTTTATGATTTTAGCATTTAGTCTGGGATATTTACGTTGGAAACAAGCTCAACTCTAATCCTAACTTTTACGGGTGGTGATCATTGATAAACTCTGATTATCAAAAGAGAAGAAGAGTTTGAAAAGAAGACATATATCAATGGGTAGACGAGTCACACGACGTGACCAAATGCAATACAATACACTTCATTTTTGCAATCATGTATACTTAATACATATCTTACTACTAACCAAAATTTTGTCTCAAACGAATGATAGATACTTAGATAGATAAATGCACCTATACATGCATAATAGTAATATCTAACTCTGTAAGATCAAGAAGAGAACTATGAAGAGATGGATAATACTTTAAGTAATTGGGGAAAATCAATAATTAATGTAATAAGATTCGTGGGACGGCGGGAGCAAAGTCTGAGTGTGAGAGTAGTGTGTGTCAGACAGAGTCGAGAGCAAACCCATTTTCTCTCTCATACGAAGAATCCATCAAAGCAGCGAAGCCACACACCAAATACGTGTGTATCTCTCTCTTTTCTATATATCCCACTAAAGTGATCATTTTTAATTTTATTTAAAATTCTCTTTTTTCGTCTTCTTCTTGCTTTTTTTTTTTCTAAAAACCAGCTTTACCTTTCCACACACACATACACCTTTCTTCTCTCTCTCCTTTTAGCTTCTTCTTCCTTCTCCTTTCGATCAGCTTGAAATTTATTTTCATAGCCATGGACACTGCTAAATGGCCTCAGGTATTTGTAATTTATTTACTACTACTCCCTTTTACAAAAAGAATGCTTTCTTTCTTTTCGGATTTAAAGTTTCCATCTTTTTGAAAAAGTTTAAACGAGATTATCTTGTGTGTGTGATCTAATTGAATAATCTATATGTTGTTCCTCTTTACAAAAAAAAAGGAGTTTGTTGTGAAGCCCATGAACGAGATCGTGACAAACACCTGCTTGAAACAGCCGAATCCTGCTGCCGCTGCTGGTGCTGTGGCCGTAGAGCGGAAGGCAAGACCGGAGAGAGATCAGGCTTTGAACTGTCCGAGATGCAACTCCTTAAACACCAAGTTCTGTTACTACAACAACTACAGCCTGACGCAGCCCAGGTACTTCTGTAAGGACTGCAGGAGGTACTGGACCGAAGGTGGGTCCCTTAGGAACATCCCCATCGGCGGTGGCATCAGGAAGAACAAGAGGTCTTCCTCCTCCTCTTCCTCCAATTCCAATTCCTCTTCACCCTCGTCCTCTTCTTCGTCTTCTAAGAAGGCTCTTTTGGCCAACACGCCACATGCCATCCCTAAGACTGGTGAGAATGCACAGGAGCAGGCGGCTTCGGCTAAAGCTCGAGAGTTGGCCTTCTCTCAGGGTTTTGGGAACGCCCACGAGGTTAAAGATCTCAACTTGGCCTTCTCTCAAGGGTTTGGGATTGCTCACCATCATCACCATCAGCAGAGTATTCCTGAGTTTCTGCAAGTAGTTCCCAGCAGCAGCATGAAGAGCAACCCGCTTGTCTCAACCTCATCCGCTTTGGAGCTTTTAGGGATCTCTAGCTCCCCATCCAACTCCTCTAATCCACGCCCTGCTTTCATGACTTACCCTAATGTCCACGATCCATCGGTTTACACAGCAGCAGCAGCAGCAGGGTTTGGTCTGAGTTTTCCACAGTTTCAAGAGTTTATGAGACCAGCTTCGGGGTTCTCTCTTGATGGAGGGTATGGTGAGGGGTCCAGTGGCACTAATCATGGAAGGCCTTTGCTGCCATTTGAGAGCCTGAAACTCCCAGTTTCATCATCAAGCACCAATAGTGGTGGCAATGGGAATGGGAATGATCATCAGCACAGTGATCACGAACATGAGAAAGAAGAAGCAGAAGCTGACCAGAGTGCTGGGTTTTGGAGTGGCATGCTAGACGCTGGTGCTTCTGCTGCCTCTGCTGGTGGGTCATGGCAATAATTATTGTCGAGGAAAAAAGAAAGCTAAAGGTTTAAAATTTTCATCCAAATTTTAAAAGATGAGGTTTAACTATACCACTGGGTGATTACTATATTAGTCTCATTTCCTTTGGTTTTGTTCTTAATTATTAACTTTGTTGAGTTGGGGATGGATACTGTATGACTTTGTATTTAACTCAAATCTCAGTTCTTCTGTTCGGTACCTAAAATGACTAGGATGGTTTTGGCTTAATAAATAAAAAATAAATTCATCAAATATATATATATATATATATATATGTTGTGGTTAGGTATCAGCGCATCACTAACCATTTTAGCAACCAAATTCCGAGAAATGGTCATTACCATCTCTTGAAGACATATAGCCTCTCATCTCTTTATAGTAGTAGTGTACTTTAGCTCTGAAGACAAGCCCCATATATTAGTTTTCTATAGTATTAGTCACATGCCTCTTGCATGTTTATTATGCCTACTAATAATATACTCCGTATACAAAACTCACTCAAGTCCCGTATGAGAAAAGAGAAGACTCTCATTTGGCAATTGGCAATAAAATAAATAAAAACCAACGGAGCCACCCAAACATTCCCCTCGGACTTGGTATATCTCTTTCTCTCTCTCCATCGTCATCATCATTCCTCTCTCTCTCTCTCTCTCTCTCTCTCTCTAACCTCTTCCCACGCACAGAAGATTAAAAAGAAAACATGTTGATTGGGTGTAAAGCAATGAAGATGATGGTAAAAGTTGAGGATGAGTTGGGTTTCAGAGTCCATTCAATGTCAAATAACATTATTTAATTGTGTCTGATTTTATTTAAGATGATGTAAGTAGGTAGTTAAGTGCTCCTTGATAGGGTTGGTTCCGTTCCGTACTAGATAGATTAAATATACAATCTCAAGTCAAGAACATGTCAAGTAATTAATTAAGGAACCCGTTTTTGTAATGGCGGTCCAAAAGTCCTCATCTTTGACTCTTTTGGCATACTATTAGCAGATAGATTACAAATCGGGGTTAATTACAATTTGTTTAAACAAAATACATAGTATAAAGTATAAAGTATGAACCTTGGCTATTTATTAGGTGTGTAGGTCTGGTTTCTGTAGCAATTGACTCTTCAACAACCATTCTCCCCGCTCAACATTCTCAGTTGATGATTCCTTCTTGTTTGCTTCTTTTTTCACATTTACATGCTAACAAACAACGCGGAAACATTTTAAATGTTGATTTAGTTCTGCTGACGTAAAAGAAGGAACCGATTGGACTTGTGCTTATTCAGCTCAAGGGAAAAGAGTCGCATCAAACATTGGCACACTCTAACTCGATGACCACAAAAATCCTCTAACTTTTTTTTCTTTTCTTTTCATTTTTGGATTTCACAATTCTGACAGCAAGTAAGCAAGAATCCACTGTATCTATATATATATATATATGTATTCTAAAAATCACTAGACCGCGGGTGTTGAGACTTACAAACCCTCTCTGACTTGTTTGGCTTTTACAAATGATAAAAGAAAAATCTAAGAAGAAGAAGAAGAAAGTGGCATATATGTGTATTTGTCAGTTGAAGAGGCTTCATGAATCATGATGAGGATCAGATTATTGGTCCGCATTGATTCCGAAGATGCGAACCTTGTGCATGTGCGGGAACTTTGCAACGACCATAATAAATACAGCAAGCGTGTTCAGAAAGAGCATCGGATGTTGATAGTCTGTCGTGTGAGATGCGATCAAGTACCTACACCACACAAGTTTCCATTCATAAGTATAATGTACCTACTCGAAAGGATCCTCATTAAGCAGGCAAGCTTGTATAGGTGTTTATGAATTTCGGAATGAGATTGACATAACAAACGTGGAGAAGAGAAGATGATGTTACTGATTTGCATGAAACCGAACAAAGTATAACTATGATCAACACAACTGACTCCAAACTCTCGGAATGTTTACTTCATATACCAAAATACGCTAAGAGAGAGGAAAGATGCATCGCTTAACTTTGCAAATGGTAGGAACAAGCAAATCAAAGCAAACCAAAGCAAAAAAGGGATGTATAGAGTAAAAATTCCAAAGTTGCCAATTCATCTATCATTCAAATAGAGAGAGAGCTTACAAGACAACGGGAACAAGGGTGAGGAACTTGCGATTGCGAGTGAGCTGCTTGCCGTTGTCGATCTGCTCCCACCAAGTCAGCCTGTTGTAGATTCCCTGGTCATCCCCAAACGGCGTTCCCTTCTTCCAATGGAAGGAATGATATGTAACCTAATTCACGCAGATTTAGAATTGGAAACATCGAGATGAAACAAGAAGAAAAGAAGAAGGTTTACGGTGAAATGAGCGAGGTGGACGATGGTCCAGGCCATGCCAGGGGAGCAGTTGAAGATAGAGAGGACGAGGAGCCAGCCGAAGAAGAGGATGAGGATGTAAGTCGTCCACACGCCTGGATACGTGAACCACTCCGTATTCCGATTCACATCCGTCGTCGGCAACGCTCGTACGTACATCATGAGATCCCGCCGATTAAGATCCTAATCTCGCCTTCTCTCTCTTGTGCAGCAGATCGATCACCAAACTGCCCTCCGATTTTGACCATCTTTCTTCCCCGAGGAAAACAACACTTATCGGGTCTTCCCTCTCACTCTCCTTCGGGTTTGGGCTGGGCCAGACCCGTATTGGGCTCACATAGGGCCATACGATTATGAAGCCCATCCGTTTCTAGAGATTAGTATAGCGACACTCTCTGTCAAACAGTAAAAGCTTTTTTTTTACTACTATTATTACGTCTGTGTGTGTGGGAAATGATAATCTGACAGGCTGGGCTGTGTTTTGCCTCCTCATCACCGACACCTAACCCTCAAAATCAACATGTCATCCAATTCCTTTCCTCCACGTGTCTCCGGGAATCTTTCCTCCTCGTCCCTCGTGAAACAGGTCCCGCGCTTTTTATGGGCACAAGACGCCCACCTTTTTCTCTCTTCTACACTTTGCACTATTCACATCACTACGCTGGATTCACAAGTAGCACTATTCACATCACTACACTGTTTCGCGGCTAACTATAGTAAAACAAAAAAAAAAAAGAGTAAACAATATTAAAAATACTATCAAATCCGAGAGTGAGTGAGTGTTTTGAAATTAGAAGAACAACAAAATAAGTTTGATAAAAAAAAATATATGTAGGGAGTCCAATCACTTCAATGATAAGTTGTGGGGTCATATGGAAATATAAAGACAAAACACACAAATAAAAATTACAATAAAATTGGTTGAATTGTACGAAGAGGAGACATTCCCTGACAAACGGTGTCTTGTCCAAAGTAGGAAAATTATTGTATGGGTGCTTCTCCACCGTAACACTATATGACGTTCAACTCTCACTCCAACTCTACCTTGGAGTTTGCGGGTGTTCATGAATCATGATTGGTTATTCGGTTTACTAATTACCTACTAGTATATCTGTTTTACAATTTTGTCTTTTCTAAATAGAGTTATCGGATGATTAACTTCCTAATCCTGCATGCTGATTCTGTCCAAACTAGAATCGTTAATACTCCTAAAATGCTCTTACCTCTCATCCAATCAGAATTTCCTCTACTCTTCAATTTTTTTGATGTAAACTGAAAGCATGCCGTGGGGTGGTTAATTTCTCTTATATACTATCTCATTAATTTGCTATTTAGATACTATAATCCATTCATCCTAGCTCTCATTTTAATAACAAGAAGTCAATATATTCTCGTAAAAAAAAAGTCGTATACAAAGAGTATACAAAACTTTGGAGTAATTTTACCCAAAAAAAAAGCTTTGGAGTAGTCTTAAATTGGAAAAATTCGACGATTCCCATCTTCTCGCTTAATGAATATTATAAACTTTCCACGTAGGGGAAAAAAATACGATGAAAAGAATAAGATGTTAAAGGCAATAACTATGTGATCAATCGAATGAGAATTTGACTATCTTCTATTTTTTCTTATTTCGTTTGTTTTTTTGTCAAGAGAAATTGACCTTTTTGGTGAGTCAAAATCATTACGTGTCACATACATATGCTTGTGGTCTATATACTGAGGAAAATCGTCGATAAAGCACAATAATTCATCTTCGAGAGAATCCCATGCATAGTTTTGAAAACTAAATATGATTCCATTTTAATTAGTTCGATTCACTACTTGATCATTCCATTTTGGAACATGATGTATGGTAACGTAAACCATCGTTGGACACCGAAATCCTTCTATTATAACGATTCAAGCCGGAGACAAAAATTCCAAAGGACCGTTGTTGCATAGGATTCCTAGCGTAAACATCAACAGACACCACGATTCAAGGTCTTTGTCGTTCATGCTTGGTCTAAACAGGAGAGCAATAGAATGGTCTGAGAGAAACTATGGTTTTATTTATTGAAATCCTAAAGTTGATGTATCAATGTATACATACGTAATTCATGGCAACGATCCACAAGCCTAATTAATGACGTGGCATGCATTGATACATGTACAACGTTTGTGTTTTCATTTACATATACATATACATATGTGTGTGTGTGTGTGAAAAGGGAATGATGATAGTTGATGGTAGTGGGAAATAGCATGATGGTGTTACCATAAGAGCTTCTTAACAAATCTAAGGATACCCATCGAAATTGGTCCTTTCTTTGGGACAAAGCGTGCCTTGTTTCCCCTTTCCCTTTTTTGATATTCCATTGCATCTCTAACTACAATACATTGTCATTTTCATTTTCCCACATTAATTTTAGATATCGTGCCAACCTTTTATAATGTAAACTTTGAAAATTTTATTGAGAGAATTTTTTCTTAAAAAAAAATCTTATACATATGAAATTACTACAAGAGGGATGGACTCGTGAATTGGTCCACTGTAACGTGAATAATTTTTTGGATTTAACTAACTTCTATAAATAAAAACAAAAAAGCAAGCGTTCAACATAAAATCCCACTTTTGGATTTAGTTCACCACTTTTTGACACCGTTGGAATAAAAACGGAAAGTTTTGAAAAGGGAAAATAAAACTAGTGAAGAAGAAAAGGATTAAGGGAAAATCTTGATGCCGTTGACTTTTGTTCTCAACGGCCATGATTGAGCGTGTGATGAGTAGAAGAGACCAAATTATGGCTATTCCTGATAAACCCCAAAAATAAAATTGATAAGATTTTCTTGATTTGATTTGTAGTTATGATTTTTTCCCATTGCTAGTCTTTCATAAGAATTTTTTTTGGTTTGTTCAAACTTATATATATCCATCCATAAAGCGTAAACTCCACTAAAAATCTAAATTATAATTTATGCTACTCTTGTGCAGTTGTTAAATTAAATAATCAAAACCTAAGCTAAATCTCTTTTTTCTATGGCTGATAATTTTAAATTTCTTACCCTTTTTTAATCCTTATATATTGATGAATATAATGAGATGCAGTGGTGTTTTGATAACTTAGATGTCATCATTCACGAAAGAATGAGGGTGATGTTGCTGCATGAAAACGTTATATATTGTTCTTGGACTCGAGACCCATGACGTAAACGTCGGTATGCTGATGAGTTTGTATTCGAATCGAGAATGGTTAAGACCCATCACCTTGCACGTCAACATAAAGAGTTTGTAGCATGGAACAATATCCCCTTCTCATATGCCGACGCAGAACCATAAAAAAAAACCATTAGCGCTTTCAACAATCTCGTGAAGACAGACATTATCCCTGAACTCTGCACTTTCCAAGCACTCCTCACGGTTTCTATTGCGGTAGTTCTATTGTGAAAACATGCTCCGTGGTGATGAAAATGGAGTTATAATCTTAAAGAGAATTTTGACAAGCTGGCGAAGAGTGTATACACGCGCGCGCGGGCTCGAGATGGGAGAATCGGACCTACATTTACGAGATGATATCTTCGGTAAGATAGGCGTACTATATCAACTATGCGCGTCATCTTTGGAAGATGCGTTAACTACTATATTACCAGTAACTTAAAAAAATGTTAAGTTAAAGTGATATATGTGTTAATGTGTGTTACTCAGGCATTTATATTGTTGTGTGGATATGTTGCAAGTAACCAAAGTAGGGGTCATATATCCATGCATGTAATTCTAACGTTTACTATATATATATTTATGTTCTGCATGTCCAAAATAGAATTTTCGGTTTCCATCGTGTCTTTATAGTAATTACATATTTACATGCATGCATATTCAGTATTTATAACATTTGAAGGGTTTTTTTTTTTTAACCACACATTTGAAGGTTTTGATATGTCGTACTCTAACGTAGAGATCGATCGAGAGTTTATAGTATAGTGTTTGATGACAAAATGATAGATTCAATCCTCAAAATATATGTACATATATTAGATGTAAATAAACTACTTCAGTATGAATTAGAGCTCCAGGCTACCAGCTTTGACGACCGCCGAAACGATATGAATAAATTACTTCACTATTCATAAAAATCATCTATAATAATAGATGTACATTAATTATCATATAGCAAAAACAAATAAAAAACTAAACTAACAAACAATATACTAGTTCTAAAAATAATTGTTTTAATATGGTTTTCGCATTAAAAACGCATTTTTCTTTTGGTATATAAAATCAAATTTAAGGCAACAAAAAAAATATTGTCTCTGCTATATAAACTTATATGTAAACTTGATTTTTTTACAGCATGTTATTTAATTTGATGAGAAATACTAGCTCTTAACATTTAAAGCTTAACTATAGCCGTATTTAGGTTGGTACCACAAAGGACCACAATTAAACTTTTCTGTGATATATATAGTATATATGAAACTCTCAGGATATATATATATATATATATATATATATATACTCAATTTCTCATATCCTTTTAATTAAACACACATATATACTATAAATTCCTAAACTCTATGTAGATTATTTGACTGTTAATATAATTTATGAAGAAGTGGATTCAGAACTAATTAAGTCAAGATTATCATACAAAAAATTCAAGATTTAGGTGACACATATTTGGGGGACCTCATTGGCCCATACACCAAGACGCGTACAGTCTTTTCTTTGTAGAGATAACTCTAATCATACCCAAAAAAAACTTTGTGATAACATCGTTGAGCAATAAGTCGAGGGTTCAAAAAAATATGCGAAATTGTGAAATTGACCTGTCAATTACCCTTTCTGTGTGTTATTGTTCTCAGTGGTTTTAAAATAGAATGAATCTAAGCGTATGAGATATATTCCATTTAATTGAGCTGTTAACCGGGTATCATCTACATTTATTCTTTTTCATTTTTTTTTGTTTAAGACCAATTTTCAAGTGATGTTTTTATAGCAAACAAATATATCTCATATGCTTAGATTCATTCTATTTTACTAGTTCTCTCACCTATATGTTTGCGTCTCTTTTACTAAATTTGATTCATAGCTGGTTTAAGCACATATATCTTTTTAAAATGAGTAAGGAAGTCGTTTATATATAAGCCCAAAATCTAGTATTACACAAAGTTTAATCACTCCAAGTAAATAAAGAATTACCAGATTTTAAAATGATGTTCAAGAAACGAGAGAAGAAGGGAATTGCATCAGACGAAGATGATCGGAAACCCCACAGCCGCATTATCTTTGTTTTTCTCGGTGGGGATCACATCCTCCAATCTTTTTTTCTTCTTCTATATATACAATTATTAATTACTCCTTTTTGAAAAACGTTATTTTACTCTCTTTTTTTCGCCTCACCAATTTCCATAATATTGTTCTGCAATTGTTTGTTAATCATTATGATTCTAAAATATTAAAGTGTATCATTAATTCGTATCGAGTATTCATTAATCCGAATTAAAGTGAAATAAAATCCTCCCTTTATGGAAATTATAGCTCGAAGATATCCTCTCTCCTGTATTAAAATTTCAAAAGACGACAAATAAATATCCCGTAAAAGCAAGCAAACTTTTCATTAACCGGTAATGGCCGGTGTAATTCTCGTCGCTTCCGGGGCAAAAACTTGACTGGACACCGGCAGGCAAAACAAATACGATATGATATTATTTATTTAATTCCTCATAATTTCTCTCTCCTTTTCCTCAGACAAAAAGGCTCTTCCACTTCCTATCGAATTACAGAAGACATTTCAATGTACACACACATATATAGTAGCTTAATTATGTAATTCTTGTTTATATATATATATATATAGAAGGACAAAGCTTTAAACTCCATTTTAATTTGCTTGAACAAAAAGCAAAATAAAAACAAGGAATTCTCTCCGTGCCTCAGTTTCTCTGCAAATTATAGGAAAACAATAAACCGACATTTATCCTCTGTTTCCCAGCTTTTTATCTTTGGAGTTTGGTTTCTGGAGAAGACAAAAGTTTCTGTCTTTTTAAGAGCTCGAGTCTCGAGATCCATACCATACTATACTTAAGTGGAAATAATTAAGTGGTCTTCTCGAGAAACTTGACCTGGTTTTCGGGTTGGATCCTCAATTTGGTAATGATGGATTTGGGGGTTAAGCAAGTATTGAAGAGTCTCTGTTTCAGCCATGGATGGTCTTACGCTGTGTTTTGGCGCTATGATCCCATTACTCCCATGTAATTTCTCCTTACTCTTTTATTTTCATTTTCTCCGGAGTGGGTTTTCATATATATGCATGTCTCTTTCTTGGATGAAACTACTGTTTCTTGTTGTTGTTGTTCTTGTTGTTGTTGTTGCTTTATGCCAAGGCTAAATCTGCATCTTGCTTTTGGTTTGAACTTTGAATTTGATTTCGTTTATACTGAAAAAGAATTTTAAGTTCCCATAACTACAATATTAATCATCTTGTATTCTCTCTCTTGGATGGAAAAATTATGATTACAGGTTATTGAGATTTGAAGAAGCACATAGTGATGAACAATCAGCAGCACTCGTTGGCGAAATGATTCTCCAGGCTCATATCTTAGGCCAAGGGTAACTAAGAAGCTATACAATTCAATCATACATGTATATTTATGTGTGGATGCTGTAGCTTCATTAGTCTTTTCTTTTGTTATGACTCCAGAATCGTGGGAGAAGCTGCTTTAACCGGAAACCACCAATGGCTGTTCTCAGACACAATGTTTCAGGTTTGTTCTCCTTCTGTGAGCTCCAAACATTTCATGAAGAAAAGAACAAGGATTTGATATATATATGTATATGTTGTATTTTGCAGTGCCAACACGAGTTTCAGAATCAGTTTCTCTCTGGCTTTAAGGTAAATATGATTGTCTCAGAGTTTAAAACTATGTTCATATGATCCAATCGAGTCAGATTCTTATCTGCGGTTGTTTCGATGTTTAATTTACAGACTATCGCAGTCATTCCGGTAGGATCAAGCGGCGTTGTTCAGTTAGGATCTACTCAAAAGGTTTGCATAAACAAAACAAAATTTTTTTGAAATTATATTTCTTGCTGTGGAAGTCATGGACTAATACTAGTGTTTTTGTTTGGCATCTATCTGTCTTCAGATTGTTGAGAAACCAGAGATGTTGGGACAAACAACAAGAGCTCTGCAGGAGAATCGCTTGAAACAACAAGATCAAACGGTGGATCTCGATACTCTGTTCGAGTCTCTGGTACCACTGGGAGACCAAGAGATTGTTGTCCCTGAATCTTTTCAAGGACTCTGCTTTGATGAAATCTTCACAGACGACAATCCTCCTTGTTTGGTCAGCACTGAGATCATCTCTGATACCACCTGTGAAGCACCTCTAATACCTTCTTCACACCAAGATGATCTAAGCCATGGAGATGATTTTGGGTTCGACATTCTCAGCTCTTACTCTTTGGACGATCTGTACAAGCTGCTCGGTGATTCGCCGGAGCAGAAATGCTCATCAGGTGATCATCAGGAGAACTCCGTGGTGATCCAGGGAAATGATGACAAGGATCTTTTCGACATGTTGGGGATCAGTTCAGGTGATTCGTGGTCTGTTAGTCAGCAAGGAGTTGCCGCAAGGCCTAAAGGACTCTTCTCTGAGCTCATAAGCAGCAGCCTTAGCAACAGCAACAGCAATGTGCAAGAGTGTTACTCTGGTCTGAGTCAGAGCAAAAGACGGAAGCTTGAAACATCATCAGCGAATAGCTCAAGCTTCTCAGTAACAACTCTTGTCAACGCTGATGAAGACAGATCAAGCGTGGCAGGGAAGTGGAAGAAGCCTCATGAAGGAGTGAAGAAGAAAAGAGGAAAGGCAGGAGAAAGCAGGAGACCGAGGCCTAAGGACCGTCAGATGATACAAGACCATATCAAGGAGCTGCGAGGGATGATTCCAAATGGAGCAAAGGTTAGCAACATACTTTGACATCTTGGTCAGTTAATTAGCATTGAGATCACAAAATGATTGAATCTATTATTTCTTCATAAACAGTGTAGCATTGATACGCTGCTTGATCTGACGATAAGACACATGGTGTTCATGCAAAGCATAGCGAAGCACGCAGACACACTCAAGCAACCCTACGAGCCTAAGGAGAGAGAGAGAACATGGGCGTTGGAAGTGGGGGACGACGAGGAGTCGGTGGTGTGTCCGATCGTGGTGGAGGAACTGAAGGCGCGAGGGCAAATGCAGATAGAGATGGTGTGCCAGGAAAGTGGTGGGTTTCTGGAGATTGCACACGTGGTGAGAGGCTTGGGGTTGAACATATTGAAAGGAGTGATGGAAACAAGGCAGGGAAGAGTATGGGCTCACTTCATCGTCGAGGCTAAGCCACACCTCACTAGGCTTCAGCTCTTTTGCTCTCTTGTTCACCTCTTCTCTTCTCCCCAACCCAACCAAACATGACTTTTATAGGACTCACTTACTTTCTCATTCATTTGATTGATAGTTTACTAGTTCTATGATTCCATCCCAAAGAGTTTGTAATTGTATTTGTAGTAGAAACATCACATGAAACAAGATTTTGTCTTTAAGCATTGAGTGTCTCTGTTTGGGTGCAAGAACAAGGCCCAAGAAGGCCCATTTAAAGAAGACGCCGTTTTAATTCGGTGGATAAACTAAAATAACTAAATGCATAAAACGAAACAATTCTCTTTTTAGGGTTTTTTAGTTTTTCCCTTTTCATTATGCTGATCAAACAAACAAAAAAGTTTTCCTTTTCATTCCCAGAGAGAGGCATTTGCGAAATTGGAGCTTCATCTGTCCTTCCTCTTATGCTTGTAACAATGGTGGATCAATGGAGATGCTTTATCCAATAAGAGTGTGACAGGATTAATCATCCTATTATCTATTTTTGTTTAGTATAAATACCGGTTTAGTCCATATCAAATAATTAAACCATTTTGTTGGTTATTAGTCGGTTATTGTACGATAACAGTATTTGTATGCATCTCGACCATTTGGGGAAATTAATCAGAATACTATTCATCATCTTCTCCAATCTCATACCTCTCTATCATCATCGTTCATCAATCATACATCATCGAATCTCAGATTCTTGGAAGTGGCTTTCTCTCTATTCGATCACTTCTTAGACTGATTTTCCCCTTGTTTCAGATTCTCGGTGAATCTCTAGCTCGGGATTATCCTATCTTATTATTATACTGTCTCAAAGAGACAAGCTACACCTCAACGTCATCGTATCGGAGATGGCCGCCAAACTTCGTTTCCGGACGATGTTTCGATCGGCAATCGACTCCTACTGCTTCGCCCGTGAGGCCTTTTCCGATCCAATCGATCTTCTGTAAACCCCCATCTTCTTGTTCTGCTTCTGGATTTTTCGGCTACTTTTAGGCGATGGAGGAGGCCGATTTCGCCGAGAAAGATCCCAGTGGTCGCTACATCAGGGTAATGAAACCTTGACATGATTGAATGTTTGCATTTGCTGATTTTGCAGTTGATCATGTTTTTTCGTTTTCCTTTCAGTATGATGACCTTCTGGGGAGAGGCGCCTTCAAAACTGTGTATGTTTGCTATTATCATCATATGCTTTCAGTTCTCCAATGCAATTGGAATCCTAATGCTCAAGTTTTGTCATCAGATACAAGGCATTTGATGAAGTCGAAGGGATTGAAGTTGCTTGGAGCCTAATGAGCATCGAAGATGTATTGCACATGCCTGGCCAACTTGAAAGGCTGTATTCTGAAGTCCATCTGCTCAAATCCCTCAAACATGATAACATCATCAAACTCTTCTACTCTTGGGTTGATGATCGAAACAGCACCATCAACATGATCACTGAGCTCTTCACCTCTGGCAGTCTCAGGGTGTAAGTCCTCTCTTCTCTCCCATTCATCTTTTCCCAAAGAATGTGTCTTTGATTCTTATTTCTCTTTGATGCAAAAGATACCGTAAGAAGCATCCCAAAGTTGATCCCAAGGCCATCAAGAACTGGGCTAGGCAGATTCTTAAAGGCTTGAACTATCTGCACTCTCAGAACCCTCCCGTGATTCATCGGGACCTTAAGTGCGACAATATATTCGTCAATGGAAATACCGGAGAGGTCAAAATCGGAGATCTTGGCCTCGCCGCTGTTATGCAGCAACCCACTGCTACAAGTGTGATAGGTAATACGTTCAAACTTTGCTTCACTCTGGTTGGATTGGATGTTGGCAAAAATTTAATTAGAACTGAACATTCTGAGTATGTTCAGGTACCCCTGAGTTCATGGCGCCCGAGCTCTATGAAGAAGAATACGATGAACTTGTGGACATATATTCTTTTGGTATGTGCATGTTGGAGATGGTTACATGTGAATATCCATATAGCGAGTGCCGAAACCAGGCTCAAATATACAAGAAGGTTACCTCGGTAAATTTTTTTATATAAGTCTTAACATTTCTCTTTGACGCGGGGCACCCCTTTAATCCGCCGTTGCATTTTCAGGGTATAAAACCTCAATCTCTCAGCAAAGTCGATGATCCTCAAGTTAAGCAATTCATAGACAAGTGTCTCCTCCCTGCTCCTTCTAGACCAAATGCTCTAGAGCTTTTGAATGACCTGTTCCTTGCAACAGATGGGGCCAATGACTCCACTCTTGTTGCTTCATCAAACACAACATCTAAACCTGTAAAGCCACCACAGTCCGAACATCTTCCTATGGATGTGGATCATAAGGGGAATACAAGTGTTTCCATCTGCTCCTCTGGTAAAAGCTGCCAAGAATACCCATGGCTTCATACCATTGAAGTCCAAAGGTTTGCTGAAGAAACCGAATTCAGGTTGAGTGGAGAGAGGAAAGACGATGTGACAGCGGCAATGGCTCTGCGTATCGCTGGCTCATCAGGTCCGTCTTATGGCCACTTTTTTTTATATCTATCTTTCACATTCTCGAATGGCTCAGTTACAGTAAAAAAAAGTATTGGATTTTGCCAACAGGTCAGGCAAGAACAGTTGATTTTGACTTCTATCTGAAGTCAGACACGGCAACAGCAGTTACAGGGGAGATGGTCCAAGTGCTTGAGCTGTCAAGCGAAGAGGTTATTGTGATAGCTGAGATGATAGATGAGCTGATAATGAAGTTGAAGAAGGCTAACGGAAGCCCGCCTCATGGAAACAGTTTATATCATGAAGAAGCTGGAGAATCAATGAAGTCAGACATATCAGCAGACTACTACCACTACCACTATCCGGTCTCGAACGAGCCTTTGATGGCCTCGTTTCTGGATTCGTGCTCAATGTTACCAAACGAACACTCAGAGGATCTGAAGGCGGAGCTGAACGTGATCGAGTCACAATACAATCACTCGTTTCAACGACTCATGAGGTTGCGAGAAGAAGCTATAGATAACGCAAAACGGAAGTGGATGAGTTTGCCAAGTGCGCACAAGCAGCTTTGATTCTTTCTTTTAACGTAGCCACAGTTTTGGGATTCGCTTGCTTCTTCTCTCTCTCTCTCTGTTTTGGGTTGTTTCACTGCGTCTTTTAGGTCCTTTCAAACGAATGAAATATCTTGGATGTTAATAACAACAAATAACCTTTTTGGGGGGGCATCTGAATAACAATAACCCTTCCGTTATTAAAGTTTTGTTGGAAATTCAAAATTTTAGAAATATGTAGATGGATTGCTTTGTCTATTGTTTGATTTGAAAACAAATTTACTAAGTTTGGGAGATTCGGAGCCGACGATGGTATAAATTAATTAAGATATATTCCAAAGAACCAATCGTTATCGCTTTCTGAAAAAGAAAACAGTTAACAAAAAAAAAAAAAAAAAAGAAAACAAAGAAAACAAATAAAATATTAAAAAATTGGCATGTCACATGATAGCACCGACGACAGCGCAGGCCAGCGAAGCAACGATAATGGAGAAAGCCGAAATGAGCGACGACGGCGACGAAGATTTCTGGGAGAGAGGGATCGAGCCAAAGGCGTTTTGGTAAGAAGGAGCGTCGGCATCGGCGGAAGAAGAGGGAGAGAAGGCGTCTGCTTCGGCGGAGAAAGTGCCGACGGAGACGAGGAGCTTCTGGTACTTGAGACAGTGGCCGGGATGCCCACTAGTGAAGTAAAAGGTTCCGTTTTGGGTGAGGTTGAAGAGAGAGTTGCCGTCGTTCATGTACAAGATTGGATCTTTGGTGTTGCAGCTCTTGAAATTGGAGGGCGTCACTTGAATCAGTGAATCTTCGCTTGGTGGGTACAAGAACACTGTTGGTTTGATTGCACCAACCAATCCAATGGTTTAGAGATTTGAATTGTAAAGAAAAAGAAACAGAGTTGAATTTGGAATGAATGAAACACTTACAGAGGGAGTCACCGATCTTGAAAGAGTGAGATTTGGGCCATTTGGAGTAGACTTTTGCATCAATCGGGATACCCCATGAGTCCAAGTCCCCAACTTTGTATAGCGTCGACGACACTTTACCAATCTCTTGTCCTAATAACAATATCACCACCTGCAATTGCAATAACAACACCATCATGCTGCTCAATCTCATCGTTCCCATCTCTCTCTTGATTGGTGAGTTTTTTTGTTTCTAAGATCTCCTCCTGCTCATAGACTGTATTGTATATATAAATTGGTGTAGCAAAGGGAGTGGGAAATGACGGTTCTGCCCCTGAAGACTGTGGCACATGGCCCGAAGTGGGCAATGTCGCAACGTATCAATACATGAAGAAGAAGAAGGGTCTACCCCAAAATTCATTTTCTATGCTTGTGTATTGTTTCACATGGCCGCCACCAGGTCTTATGGATTATAACGTGCGCTTCAAAGACACGACTCTCACTCGCTCCCATTGCAATTCCACATGTAAACAGAAACATCGTTGCCTAATCAAAATTGAGTTGGACGATTCTTGTAATAGACTTCCTTTCCAACACCAACACACTTTTTTTTTAGCATTTCTATGCTTTGGTGTCAATATTAAATAATGTTTTTGGAGGCACAGCAAATGTTTGAAGAAGAATAATAATGGCCAAAGCCCAAATAAGCTGATTGATGTGCACAGCACAGGTTTGAGTGTTCGCTACATCTGGTGAAAGCACAAAATCCAAATATAACTAACAAAGACATTATGGGTTTAGGGTTTAAGTGGAAAGGCTTTTTATGTATTAAGTAGAAAATCATCAAGAGAAGAAGCCGTCTGAGCAACAGCGTTTACTCTTTTTTATGCCATCGACTCGTGGGAAAATCGGTTATTATGGGTTTAGAGGGTCAGCTTCCGAGGTCATCTCCTTTGCTGCTGACCACTCTTGCGATCCTGCAATGGTCCTCAAGATTATCAGATCATGCAAAATATTAAAGGCAATGTTCATTCGTCAAAAATTCATGCACGGATGATGATGACTCAGAGAGGTTCCTCTCACGAGTTTGATGGGAGCATTTATATCATTTCCATGATAGGATATTCCCAAGTACACTAGTTACTTCCCTTGAACCGTTTCCTGATTAATGTCAGAAGACTTACTTGACTTGTGGACCTCGGCTACATTCATCAATCTCCTCTGCAATATAGAGGCCACAAAAAGGAATACAGAGCACATCCCAAACATCACGGTCATCGGAAACGCATCAACCTTTAGCATACAAAAAACATAAAAGCTCTTTAAGTTTACATTCAAAAGAAGGCTCCATACGATGAATATTGACTTTTAGATTGTACCGCAAGTAACTAAGGGCTAGCACTTAGATACCACTCCTTGCATCCATATGATGTATATTGAATAATTAACTTTTAGATTGCACAGTAACTATCCAAGGGATATAGGTAACTCGTTCTAAATAATTATAAACGAAATGAACTCTAGATACGCTAAGGCTGGGCAGAAGACCTACACGAAAAACTTGCAAGTTCAAGACACTAGGGATGTGTATTACAGGATAAAAATTGTGTTTAAAAAAATACTGTTCCTTATTAGGAGTGATACTAACACTGCCGTCTTGAAGAAGCCTGGATAAAATGAGAAGTCGAAAACTCACATTGTACAACACAAGGCAGACAAAGATGTTGAGTGGGATGCGGAAAAAATTCATGATAGTGCTTCTGGCTTCCTCTGGAATGTATTGGGATCTCATCTTCATTATAGATGGCCAGAAGATTCCTACACACGCTTCAAATGTGCAGAAACCTATTAGCTGAATGCAACCAGAGAATGATATGCTTCCACCTTTTACACCTGAGGGCGCCACCAAGAACTGTTCGAATTGGAAATTGGGAAGTTATTATCTTTGCTAATAGTCCTTGATTATGGAGCGTAAATAATGAGAGACATCAAGATAGAGAGCATACGCTTGTTACAACAGGAAGCATTAGAGCTGCAGAAGATATCACAAATACGATCTGCATATAGCTCTCTACTTTTGGAGACGAGTGTGCCAACAAACGAGATGCAATGGAGCTACCAAGCATCGAAGCCAGCATGAATGTTGCAAATATGAAACCATGTGGAATGTCCTCATCATTGGGGCTTAAGGCAGGGGTCCAGAGAAATACAAAGGTGTACATGGACCCTTCAAACAGAGACTGTATAGCACCGAGCAATGCAATTTTCTCATCTAATTCAACAACAACAAAAAAAAATAGTTAGTGGAGCAAAGCCACATGTCTAAAACCAGACAAGGTAAGAGGTTCACCAGAAGCAATGGCAGACGCAGCGTTCTTGAACTGGGTAAGAAGGTCTTTGTTTTCGGATGGATCTCCATAGTTTTCGGACCACGATGATATAATGACGGCCATACCAATAGCAAGAAAGCAAGCTGCAGCATCGAATGGAGCAACAGGGCCCAGGGACAGAGAATCCACAAGGTAGTTGCCAAAGAGTCCAGCTATGATGGCCACTAATCCATTCCCAAGGAAAATGGCTTTGGAGAATGTGACTGATAGCCATTGCTGCTCGAACCCTCTCTGCACACACACAGGAAATTCAAGCACACGTTGAAGAGGAAAAGACTTTTGAAGCGATAGGAGACGGGGGACAAACCTTGTTGTGCTCAGCAACTAGCCAAGACTCGAAGGCAGAAAAGAGCAGAGAAGTTGCGATACCACCCAGAACACGACCCACCATCAAAACTTTGTACTGGGGAGAATGTTTGGTGATGCAGCTGAGAATATAGGTAATGCAGTAGGTGATAGAAGCTCTCTTCCGACCCCTAAGTTGCAGGAAAACAAACAAAAACTTAGAAAGCTTAGCAACCACCATTTGCTAACGTTATATTGAAAGGGATGCTCTCACTGTTTGTCGGCAAGCGATCCAACAATCGTCCCAAAGAGCATTGAAGATCCGAAACCAGCAATAAAGAGCTGACCGATCTCTCCCTTTCCGAAGCCATACGTACTGTAGAGATAGTACACATACGGACCCTGCAACCAATCCCCAGCTAAAGCCGCCGGGAGAGAGAGAGAGACATTGTTTTGCTCAATCAATGGGACTCAAACACAGAACAATTAGAGACAACACGAACAACATTTCGATCAAATCACCCAACTAGTTCCAACGATCAGAGCGAGACAAATCAAATCTAGAATCGAAGAAAGAGAAGAGGTGCGAGATCTACGAACGAACCCATCATGAGGGAGTAAACGAGGAGATAGTTGTTCTTGAAGGAGTTGAAGGCGGAGGAGGTGTTAATGCGGTCTTTGTTGGATTTGCTGAGCTCCAAGCCGGCGACGATCGCGGCGAGGCCACCGAACACCACGAAGTAGAAGATCTCCATTGTTTCACCGATAGATCTCGATTCCAAGATAGATTTGTGATTTGATCTGTTTAGTGTGGACTGAGATTTAAAACCCGAGTGGCCTGCCCTCTGAATTTCCTTTATTGATTGATTAATTAAATTTGCTAATCTTTCAAACAAAAATAGCGACCGCGTTTACCGAACATCTCAAAAATTTCATTCAGTCTACAGGAAACTAGTAGTAAACAAATAAATTAGCAGAGTAAGTAGTATAATTAGGAAACTAACAAAGCCGATTATGACCTAGTTTTTGTAAAAAGTAAAAAAAAAAAAAAACCTCGACTTACCGTGGTTATTGTCACATTAAAGTCCTGTTATGTGTATTTCTACCTCATTATCTAAGATCAATGATAGCCGAATACAAAGTCTATGGACAATTGCTTAATAATCCGATTACAACTACACCTATGCATTAGGGATGGCCAAAATATCCGTTGTATCTGCTTCAGAACAAAGCAAATAGCAAAATGTAGTATCCGTACAAAACGGAGCAAATTACAAATATGTTTTTAGATAACGCCGGATATCCAATCCGATCTGTATCTTTATAAATTTATTATATATTATCATGTATATATCAATTATATTATAAATTTTTATGAATATATTCTCAATTTTCTTCCTAAATTTTCAATTGTTCTTTTGATTATATAAAATAAATGACTAAATAACCAATTATAAAAAATAAATAATATGTTTAAACTTAAAATATATTAATAAATAATATTTTATTTTATATTACTAAATAAATATCAACAAAAGTTTTTTTAGTAAAGTTTAATATTAAAGTTTCAAATAGTTAATATTATTTTAAATATAAAATATCATTTTTCTCATCTTAATTTTGTAGTTTTATTTTTTATAGATTTTTTTATAAAATAAAATATTTTTTTTTAGTTATTTTCACTTAATAGTTTAGATGAAAATTTTTTTTTATAATAAAAATTGATGTACTTTCAGTTTTGTGTATATTAAACGGATCAAACTAAATATTCATAAATATTCGTAAATATCCGCAAATATCCGTAAATACTTGTAAATTTTCCGGATATCCGAAAATCTGGATATCCGTATATTTTTGGAGCAAATCAAATCATAAAATTAAATATCCGTTAAAAACGGAGCAAACCACAAATACTAAAAAATTCTCAGATATCCGATCCGCGCCCACCCCTACTATGCATGGGGGAACCCCAACATGTCTCTTTGTCATCACTCCATGACTTTCTCTAATTAGCACTGAAAATCCAGAGTATAACATTTTAAAAAGATCAGTTTTGTATAACATTTCTATAACATCGATTTGGAGAAAAAAAAAAAAGAAAATGGGCCCATGATTAGAAAGAAAACATAAAATTGGGCTTTCTAATGAGAAGGAAAATAAAAAACTGATCCCCAATTTTTTTAATATAAAAATGGACATGAGATCTTGGGTTGTTGCACGTCCACCATCTTTGGGCCGAGCATGCAACCCACCATGTCTCTTTGTTTGACCAAAGTACATTGATGTGTAAAACACCACTCCATGACTCTCTCTAATTAGCACTGAAAATCCAGATTTAACCAACAAATCGTTAGAAAGGCAAGTCTCATATGAAATTTTTTTATGGAATTGTAATTATATAACACTGATCTGAAGGAAAAAAGGACTATACATATATGAATAAAAAATTAAAAATTAAACCATACATTTAGGACAAAATTTAGGACTAAAAGGTAACTTGATGTTGCTTGTCCATTGGATATTTGCTATCATGTGAAGAAATCAAAGACATCTGAAAAGGTAAAGTTAGACATTGCTCATTTAGGCCATCTCCATCAGTAGTATCTGATGAAATATCTAAACATTTAAAAATTCAAAAATAATGAAAAGTATGTGTTAGATTGAAAACCGCATTTTCTTTAAAAACCTTTTTCATATGTATGAAAGACTTGAAAAGCAACTACTTTTTTTATAATTGGCTGAGTTTTGTTATTTTAAACTTTTTAATTAAATTATTTAAATATAATAATATAATATAATTGAGATACGTTATTAAGAAACTTTGGCAATGGAATGTATTGCTGGTAGACTTGAGTTTATAAGAACAGCAGTATTGATAAGCCTTTATAGGATTCTAAAGAAAAAAATTAAAATAAAAAATTAAAATAATGATATGGCAAGATTCTGTCACAGAATCGACTCTTTGTGCATGATTTGTAGAATTGTCTCTCGCCACATGGTGAGATACGATTCGTCATTTTTATTTTTTTCTTTTTCTTTTTTGAAAATCAAAAAAAAATATTTTAATAATAAAAAAGTTTTTAAAAGCTTCAATTCATGAGATTTGGTGCTCTAAATGGGCTGTTTGCTATCGATCTACTTGTTGAATTTTTTAACATAAGTGTGAAGTAAAGGAAAAGCAGGAGATTGTTTATTTATTTTATTAACTTTACAAGTATCATAAATTGATACGCGCGTCCTTGTACCGTTTTGTCTTGCGAGAAAGATGGCAGCCAATTAAAGATTTCATCCCTTAAGGTATCCTAATCTAACATTATTCAATTGTTTATTTTGCAAAAGAAAAGAGGTAAAGGAGATAATTTAAAATATGGAAGTGAGTAAGAAGGAAAACAAGAAGACAAAATAAAAAAGTATAAATGAGGATGAGGTGTGTAACGCTTATCTTTTTTTTTGGTCAACTGGTGTAAACGCTTACCTAATCTTAACTATTACTAGTTTGCATGTTCTACTTCTACTACAGTCAATCAAAGCAATAACAATTTTGCTTTACGTAGACACTTTCGCATTTTACTTAAGTACTAATCCACTTTTGTGTCATTTATAACCCGATTCTCCTCTGCCAACCAGGAAAAAAAACACGACACTCTTCGTCGATGAGTTATATTTTAAGAAGTTGGAAAATTAAGAAAGTAGCTCGTCATAACGTTCGTGACTGAGATGCCGTTGTCACTTGGTCCATCACAAGGATAGCCAACGTAATCAGATAGAGATTACAGCAATTCATATAGATATATAAGGAATAAAAACACAAATTTCAGTACAAATATGCACACACCATCTTCAATTTTTCTTTATTTTTTTTGAAGTCTTCAAATCTAAAAAATGTGCGTGCTCTTTATTTTTATGTCTTCATATTCCATTAATTTTCAATTGTTCTTATCTCAACCCCAGCAGTTTTACTACGCACACATGGAAAACAGTTACCTAACATAACACTTCCAAAGAGTTATAGTCGGGGAACACGTGAATATGCCTCCAACCTTTTTTAAATAATAGTACAATTCGTTTCATCGGTTGTAACTTCCCCAAAAGCACTACTATAAATATTATGTTCAACGTGTAAAACAACGTCTTTAATTTGATTTTGTTGAAAGGTAAAGTTGATTTTAGATCAAGTTTAAATATTTTTTAATGATCCAATAATAATTGGATCAAAACTCAATTATACTTAATCAAAGATTTTAGAGTTTTTTTTAGAAAAATCAACACATCCACCTTATTAAAACTTTTTAGAGAGTTATAGAGAATAAAATAAATATCTAGAGATTTTTCTAGATAATTATAATAAAATAATCTAGATATTAAGATAAAATTTTCTAGATTTAAGTTTAAAATATTTTAGATATAGGCTATAAATAGCCATCTCCTCTCTCATTTGTAACAAAGAAATTAAGAAAAATATTAAAAAAGTTAATTGAAATTTTTAAGTCCTCTAAGTTCTAAAACTTTATTCTTCTTAAGATTGTTCCTTTGTCTTTCAAGTTCTTAAACACTTTCTCTATCACTCTTAAAAGTTCTCTCTTTCCAACAAAGTGGTATCAGAGCTAGAAGATTCTCTTAAAGATGGCAAGTAATTGTGTTCCCTCCCAAGTTTCAATGCTCACTAAGAGCAACTACGACAACTGGAGTCTAAGAATGGTGGCCATTCTTGGAGCACATGACGTGTGGGAGATTGTCCAAAAAGGCTACATTGAACCGGAGAATGAAGGTAGTCTTTCTCAGACTCAAAAAGATAGTTTGAGAGACTCGAGGAAGAGAGACAAGAAGGCTCTTTGTCTCATTTATCAAGGATTAGATGAAGACACATTCGAGAAGGTCGTCAGAGCAAAGATGGCCAAAGAAGCATGGGAGAAGCTTCAAACTTCTTACAAGGGAGCAGAGCAAGTCAAGAAGGTACGCCTTCAAACTCTAAGAGGAGAATTTGAAGCATTGCAAATGAAGGAAGGTGAACTCGTCCAAGATTACTTCTCAAGAGTTCTAGCGATTACTAATAACCTAAAGATAAATGGGGAGAAGCTAGATGAAGTGAGAATGATGGAGAAGGTTCTTAGATCGTTGAATTCAAAATTTGAGCATATTGTCACTTGTCATTGAAGAGACAAAAGATTTGGAGGATGTGACAATGGAGCAACTACTAGGATCACTACAAGCTTATGAAGAAAAAAAGAAGAAGAAGGAAGACCTTGCAGAACAAGTACTCAAGATGCAAATTGATCAAACCAAAGATGGAAGCGGCCGAAGTCATCCAAGAAGAGGTGGCGGTCAAGGACGAGGAAGAGGATGTGGTTATGAAAATGGACGTGGCTGGAGGTCCTATGAAGACAAGACTAACCAAAGAGGAGAAATCTCAGCAAAAGGACGTGGGAGAGGAACTCCAAAATTAAGGTACAAAAAATCGAACGTCAAATGCTATAATTGTGGGAATTTTGGACATTATGCTTCCGAATGCAAAGCTCCAAACAACAATAGAATTGAAGAGAAGTCCAACTATGCTGAATAAAGAAGCCAAGAATAAGATATGCTGCTAATGGCGTACAAGAAGGTTGAAAGAGATGAGGTCCACAAGTGGTAACTTGACAGCAGCGCAAGCAATCACATGTGCGGGAAAAGAAGCATGTTTGTGGAGGTCGATGAGTCAATGAAAGGAGGCGTGGCCTTAGGGGATGAATCAAAGATGGAGGTGAAAGGTAAAGGAAATTTTTTCATCCGAATAAAGAATGGAGATCATCAATTTATCTCCAATGTTTATTATATTTCAAGAAGACCAAAATCTTGATCCTTGGACAATTCATAGAGAAAGGTTATGATATTCGACTAAAGGACAATAACTTTTCTATAAGAGATCAAGCTAACAATCTCATCACCAAGGTGCCGATGTCAAAGAATAGAATGTTTGTTCTTAACATTCAAAATGACATCACAAAATGTCTCAAGATGTGCTACAAGAAGGAGTCTTGGCTTTGGCATCTTCGTTATAGACATCTCAACTTTGGAGGCTTGGAGCTACTTTCTAAGAAAGAAATGGTGAGAGGATCGCCTTCAATCATCCAA